TATATTTGAGAGACGCACACGAGAAATATGAATAAACAAGCATGAAATACTCACATCCCCCGCCAATATGACATGTCGGGTGTGTGCAATGCATGAGCTCCTGTGAACTATGTTCACTGGGCCTTTTTAAAGAAATATAGTACGTTTTTCAAGATCTGCTCCGGAAACGAGGACTACCGCCATTTTCAGTCTAAATCAAAGTCGTTGCCATGGAAACTCGAATTTAAAAAAAATAATAATAATCCCAAACTATCAAAAGGCACCAGTTCACCACTAGATCTATCTATGTGCCAAGTTTGGTGAAGAAATATGGTACGGTTTTCAAGATCTGCTCCGGAAACGAGGGCTACCGCCATTTTCAGTCTAAATCAAAGTCGTTGCCATGGAAACTCGAAAAATAACTTTTTTTAAAAATCCCAAACTATCAAAAGGCACCAGTTCACCACTAGATCTACCTATGTGCCAAGTTTGGTGAAGAAATATGGTACGGTTTTCAAGATCTGCTCCGGAAACGAAATGTGACGGACGGCCGGGCGGCCGGCCGGACGGACATCACCCATTCCTATATTCCCCCTTTCACTTCGTGGCGGGGGATAATAACTGTTAAATGACCCCAAAGCAATTACAACACCGAAACACACATGCATACAACACATATCTACAGAACCAGTGTTTTAACCAAACCAGAGTACTGTAATATGGACGTATGCTTGTCGTAAGAGGCGACTATGCTTGTCGTAAAAGGCGACTATGCTTGTCGTAAAAGGCGACTATACTTGTCGTAAAAGGCGACTATGCTTGTCGTAAAAGGCGACTATACTTGTCGTAAAAGGCGACTAACGTCATCGGGTTGTCAGGCTCGCTGAATTGGTTGATGCCTGTCATCGATCCCGATTGCGTGGATCGATGTTCATGGATTGTCTGGTCCAGACTTGATTATTTACAGACCGCTGTCATATAGCTGGAATATTGCTGAGTGTGGCGTTAAACAACAAACAAACAAAACTGTAATATGGTTAACATTGTCTACAGCCGTCGATTGCTAAAGCGATCACGTAAATCCTTGCTGGGACATAAAAGCAACAAAACACTTTCCACAATCTTGAGGAAACACTTGCTAAATGCAGAGTCTACTTTTTTGTCAACGCGAATGTTGACGGGAATATTAGCTCAGATTGAAGACGAAGAATACGTTGAGTCCAAACTTCTTTAGTCAGCTATAAAACAAACAAATACAATTACTCTAAGGAATATGTCGAGCGGAGATTCCAACAACTACAAGAGAAGAAAGAAGAAGAAAAATAGTTTATTTAAGTGTCCAGCGGTGTATACATAAAATTACATCAATTTATACAAGAGGTAAAATATATTAAAAGATATACATCGCCCGGCCAGCGCGGACCTATTAGACACTAATGTTCTTAAAAGCACCGCAAGTGCTAAAATAGTTATAGTGGACAGTGGTTTATTTGTTAATGGTGCACAAAATACGAGATAAAAGTGTAATGCTCGTACATTTATGACAAGCATTGCCATACAATGACATGTTTTATAAAATATGAAATATACAGAGGCATGCAATACTGGAATGGGTTTATGACACGTTGTTATATAACCTACGTTTGTACATGGATTTAATTAGTGCAGCTACAGAATAGGATAAATTATCGCAATTCATAAGGAATGTGGTTTGATCTATAGAGGTCATGAGACAAAAGTTTGGGCAAAGAGACGAGGCATAACCCCAAACATATCCTCGTTGATCTGCATAAAGATTACACGTTGTTAAGAAATGAACCTCGTCTTCGATACTGTTTGTATTACAGTGTTTACAAATACGATTATGTAAGGGAATTTTTGGTTTCAAGAAACGACCGAGTTCAATTTCCAGAAGGGAGGGTACCACATCTAAATTTAGCAAATATACCACGATGTTCTCTGTTGGCTAAATCAATGACATATTTGGAGGTGCTTAAAGACGTTTTAAACAGTCGATATGTTCTTAACTTAATACCATTTGTTAATCCTCTGTCATCCCAGAGCTGTTCCAACCATAATTCCTTATCCTTATTGATGAGTATATTTCTAGCATGGTCGAAGTCACAAGATAATAGATTAGTTATAACAGAAGTAATTTATTTCACATCGAATAATTTCTTAACTGAATTATCCCATGACTTACGAAATTTAGATGACCATCTTTGCACTATATGCATTAGCCTGTTTTTATCTGCCAATCTCAGCCTTTTCCAGAAACGTACTATCTCAATTTTTTGCTTTGTATAGTTAAATGACCAGCCCATTTCCCCCCTTACTGCCAAATTAGGTGTTTTGTTGCCTACTCCCAAGAAAAAGCGGCAAGCTCTATTTTGGATAGCGTTAATACAACTAAATTCTTTGGTGCCCCAAATAGCTGAACCATATGATAAAATTGGTTGAACTAAGTTATTGTATAAAGTAGTGAATACATCATAATCCATGCCGCCCACCGCTTTAAACTTACTGATAATTACCCCAAGTGCCCTACTGGCTGATTTAGATATTTCTTTTGCTGTATAATTCATATCTAAGTTTTCATGTAACCAAAGCCCAAGATACTTATATGAATAAACAATTTCTATATTTTATACAAGTCAAGTCGAGCAAGCAGGCTGTACATACAGATGCTGTCGGAATACCAGACTAACTAACAGTAAAGATGTAAACATATATATGTTACAGGGAAAATGTATAATCATGGAATATGTATAATCCCTGACATTTTCAGGGAATATATTTAATGTCTGATTCACTCAGGGAATATACATAATCCCTAAAATTTTGAGGTATTATACATATTCCCTGATTTAACATCAAGTTGTTAGACATTTTCCCTGAAATTACTTTTTGAGGCTCTCATATGGTCAAACTTGATAAAAAAATCGAGAAGGCAATTTTTTTTGACATGATAGCAAATACCTTTCACTTAACTTAACAATTAGTCTTAACTGTAATCAAAACATAGGATAGAAATGAGATTAAAATACTGTTGGTTTGACATCCTCAAGTCTGCCTCACGAAGCTATCACAGCTTCAGAGTGAAGATGACCTACTGGCAGTGCTTGCTGCACAACTGCCATGCCAAGTGAGCCACCTCAAGATGCAAGTGAATACATTATTGGACAGCAATGGACAGACGAAGAGACAATGGCGTCACCCTGGACATAGGTCTTATGTAGAGGGGAATGTCCGAGTAACTCTCCATTCCTTAAAAATAATGGAGTAGATGCCCCGCAGGGGCCGAGGCCCATTATTTTTAAGGAATGGAGAGTTACGAGGATATTCCCCTACTTAAAACTCATCCCTACTTTTACACTTTGACAAAATATTCTGTAGTTGAAAATATTTGAAAAATTCAAATGCTGCTTCAAGATCATGTACAGTTGACAAGCAACTCTCCATTCCTGAAAAATAATTGAGCGTTCAAACAATAGAATGACGTCACAGATGTGTTTTAAGGATGTGATCATAGACACGATCCAGGGGAAATGGATTAACGCTGTTAATGTCATAATGGGAAATGCTTTGTTGACAATGGCACAACTGACCGCTGTTACGCATGGATTACATCATGTTAGATAGTCCAGACTTCCTGAACGATATGATACTGTACAAAAGGGGAGTAGTTAAGAAGCTATAGTTCATCAAAGACAACACGTTGTCCAAACAGAGTGCTATTACGCCACTCTGTGGCAGAATAATTCCGACTATATCATGAGCATATGTTTGTGACTCGATGTCAAATATGCTAAAATATGTTTGAGAGATTGGTTTTAAATATAACTTTGATGTATAGATTACATGGATTTAAATCCTTTACGTGTTCCCTTTGTTACACGAACCGCCTCCGTGGTCTAGTGGTAGAGCGTCCGCCCGCAGAGCGGGAGGTCCGGGGTTCGATCCCAGGGCGCGTCATACCAAAAGACGATAAAAGATGGTACTTGTTGTTACCCTGTCTGGCGCTCGGCATTAAAGGGCTAAACAAGGACTGGTCGGCTCGGAGTCAGTATACTGTGTCTGAGTGGGGTATTCATGTTTAACTGCGGCATGGTATCTCAGTGTGCGAGCACTATAAATCGGCATCAGTCCGGACTAGTACAAGCAGCCACACAAACACGTGCATGCACGTCGCTAAATAAGTTAAACGTTAAACCCAATTTCACCTCACCTCACTTTGTTACACGACTGAAACAGTAGCGACATGAAATTGAGGAAATGTCCAAATTCGTGACGCATCGTGACCTTTTGGTGAACACTTTATATAATCCCTATTGGACAGTAATTCTGAAACACATGCCAATGCCACAACAGGAATCGTAAATGTACTTCAGCAGACATTTAAGACCCGTGAAGATCCGGGGTAGAATAGGTCTTCAGCAACCCATGCTTGTCGTAAAAGGCGACTATGCTTGTCGTAAGAGGCGACCAAGTCGCTCACTTGGTTGATCCCAATTGCGTGGATCGATCCTCATTACATCAATCACTGGATTATCTGGTCCAGACACGATTATTTACAGACCGCCGTCATATAGCTGGAATATTGCTGAGTGCGGCGTTGAACAACAAACCAACCAACAACCAACCAGACATTTGGAGTATGGAAAGTGTCGCTTACATTTTCATTCACTCCCACAGTATTCTAATGCACTTCTAATAATGTAATAACACAATGTTTTGACATTTCTATCGTCAAATGTCAAAAAAAGTGGATATCATGTGTATTTGCTAAAATAGGTAGTGTATCTTAATAGTTGATGTGAGTAAAGTGAGTGAGTATGGTTTTACGCCGCTTTTTGCAATAATCCAGCAATATCACGGCGGGGGACACCAGAAATGGGCTTCACACATTGTACCCATGTCGGGAATCGAACCCGGGTCTTCAGCGTGACGAGCGAACGCTTTAACCACTATGCTACCCGACCGCCCTGATGTCAGTTAAGAAAGATAGTGAAATCTAACAGTGGCGTGTGGGCAATAATGAATATGCCTGTGTTTATTTATTCTCGTATATTTGTAGACCATCATACATTTCTTCGCGGGTGTCCGTTAGAGCATCATACACTTCATTGGGTGTGGTTCCTCTTCCCGGAGGCAGGGGAGGGGTCGCCCTTGTAATGCCTCCTGGAACAACAAACATAACATGAATCAATTTGTCATCCCAAACAGGGACCATAAAATAATTTATTTTATTTATTTTATGTTCTCTGTCCCTTGTGGGGGCGGTCGGGTAGCCTAGTGGTTAAAGCGTTCGCTCGTCACGCCGAAGATCCGGGTTCGATTCCCGACATGGGCACAATGTGTGAAGCCCATTTCTGGTGTCCCCCGCCGTGATATTGCTGGAATATTGCTAAAAGCGGCGTAAAACCATACTCACTCACTCACTGTCCCTTGTGACCTGTTAAAATGCTTTTTTGAGGAAATATGAGTTACTTAATATTTTCGCCAAAATATGAAACCTCACCCTTCCTCGGCGCCGGCATGTTCCCATAAGGCTGTGCAGCATCTTTGCCACCGGCTACAGAGTCGTCCATCTTGTGAACATCCCTGAAGGAAATGTGAAGCAATATGGTATTTTCTGGATGATTTTTGGTTAATGAAAGCTTGACCTTTTGTATGTACAAAAGTTACTTTTTTTGTACAACCAAACTAAAGTGAGTCAGTTGTATTTACCGTCGCTTTTAGCAGTATTACAGCTGTATCGCGGCGTGTCAGCTTAATGTGCGAGGAAAGCCCGAAGTAATGCAGGTCTCAGACGTTTACCGCTTCGGTGAAACCCACGAGCACGGGTATGGTGTTGACAAAGCTAGAAACATAAGCGGGGCGAACCGGGATTCGAACCCACAATCATAGGTTTCTGGCGTGCCCAAGGGACGCAACTCTGCACAGCGAATCGTGTCGCCTTAGACGACTGGGCCACCCGTGCCCCCCACAACCAAACTAAAAAGAATATTGCATTCTTGCTAGTCCAAAAGAACCCTTCAAGATGAACCCCATACACGCAACACCAAAGACATTTCCGTGTTCTTCCGATCAAGGTTTGTGCATAATCAACGTCAATGCCAGACAACAACCAGTCTCTATTATCCGCCGAAACAGGCCATGTACATGTTCAATGTGAACACATGGTGTTGTGTGCAATTCTCAAAGACCCTAACAGTACATGGTCTAATTTTTGAGTGAGTTAAAATCTTACGTAACATCGACATTAATGTATCGTATTATAACAAGTTACATATGGATACCATCATGTTCGCAATGGACAGTAATACCGTTTCACAAGTATCACAGAAGTCACTTAAAAAAATATACATGAGATGTACAACAAATTACCTTTACAATTCTATGAATGATAATCACAAGCGGGCTATATATATTACCGGTGGGGCGGTCGGGTAGCCTAGTGGTTAAAGCGTTCTGTCGTCACGCCGAAGACCCGGGTTCGATTCCCGACATGGGTACAATGTGTGAAGCCCATTTCTGATGTCCCCCGCCGTAATATTGCTGGAATATTGCTAAAATCGGCGCAAAATCATACTCACTCACTCACTATACTACCAGTATTCAGGGCTTGACCACCTACATGGTCACATGGGGTCTGACCTGCACGTCCTTCCTGCATGATGTCAGTGCAGTATTTGCATGCAGTTTTACCAGATACATCCATCAATATTATAAATATAATACTCAAAGCCTGAATCCGTACCTCAAACGAAATTAGTATTATCAAGCCTCAACTGAAAATTTAAATAAGATTTGTGATTCAACACATTCGTGTGCACTAAACATTGATTTTTGTGTTTTGTTTGTTGTTTATCGCCGCAATTTACAATAATCCTGCAATATGACGTCGGTCTGTAAATAATCGAGCATGGAACATACAATTCAGTGATTGACATCATGAGCATCAATCCACGCAATTGGGAAAGGATGATATGCATCAACCAAGTCAGCGAGCCTGACCACCCGATCCCGTTAGTCGCCTCTTAAGACAAGCATAGTCGCCTTTTACGGCAAGCATGGGTTGCTGAAGACCTATTCTACCGGATCTTCACGGGTCACATTGATTTTTAATTAAGAGTGACAAAGTCGACGGTTATTGTCTTTTTTGTCGCTTCGTTTAGTCAATAAAAACATTCTGACATCCCGAAAGGGAAAATTAACCTCACTACGTTAATTTCAACGTATATATTACGCAAACCACTTCTGAAGTCCTATGAGATTATACATTCACCAACGATAAGGAAAAGAAATAGCTTTTAGAACTGAAAGCATTCTTTTTTGTTCTATAAATTATGCTGCCCACCGATTCATGACAGAAATGACGTTCTTACCTTCTTTCCTCCGTAGCTTTGACAGGTCTATGGCGTTCTGCAGGGAAGGATTGCAACAAGTCAGTGTTAACGAAAACTGAGGGCGCGCTTTTTTGGCTCACCCCATCTTCTACCCTAAGTATTTCTACATTTAACACTTGTTTAACAACTTTGCATGGTGAATACACACGGTAATTCCCAAAAAGTATATACACTCTTCAAAAAAAGAAACGCAGCATGTTTTTTTTATTGAAGCTGGCTAGACAAAAAGTCCGGGATATAAATTGGATATATGTCATTGGAAAATGTTGGTGACCTTACATTCGACAAAAGGTGCGTCAAAACGCAGTCACTGTCGATTTGCAATGTCTTAACGGCATTGTTTTCACACCTGTTCAAAAATGACAAGGAGGAAAACAGTAAAGCAAAAGGCACGTTCAAGTTATGGCATTCGTAACTCGTGGTAGTAGCTATAGAAAGGCAAGCATTTGTCATTCAATTGTCAACATTTTTCAAGTTCGAAAATGCCGAGACTCAGCGCTGCCGGTCGGAACATCGCCATAGGACGTATCCAAAGAGGGGAATCGCAGTCTTCTGTTGCACGCCTCTTCAACGTCCACCACAGCACCATTTGCGGCCTTTGGGACCGATACACACAGTTCAATTCCCCTGCAGACCGTCCGAGAACTGGCCGACCAAGAGTTACCACCCCTGCACAGGATCGCTACATTCGACTGTTCCACCTACGTCATCGCAATGCCACAGCTACGGAGACTGCAGGACGCATCCCTGGTTTGAAGAGGATATCGAACCAGACTGTCAGGAACCATCTTCGCGAGAATAGAATCCGACCCAGAAGACCAGTTATCGTCCCTGTTATGCAACAGATCAATCGACAGCGACGCTTGCGTTGGTGCCACATCTTACAGCTTTGGAATTTGAGAAACTGGAGACGAGTGTGGTTTAGCGATGAATCACGATTTCTTCTTCACCGGTGAGATGGAAGACAATGTGTTAGTCGTCCCGGAAGTGAGCATATTGCCCCACATTGTCTACGTAAATTCGACAAATTCGGTGGCGGTAGTGTCGTGGTGTGGGGGCCATATCCTACGCCACGAGATCTTACTTGGCTGTGGAAAATCGCGACATGAATAAAATTGTTTCAAAAAGGGCAACGCTCCACCGCACACAGCTCGTGTCATGGTAGACTTCATAATGCCACCATCAACGACTTTCCCTGGCCGTCGAGATCTCCAGATCTCAACCAAATCGAACACCTCTGGGATGAACTCGATCGACGTGTACGTCATGGTCAGAACACGCCGCAGACACTCCCACAACTGGCCAACGAGTTACAAGCAGAATGTCGCAGAATGCGTACACGTATCCAGTCAGTGCCTTGGAGATGCAGAGCCGTGATTGCTGCCCGGGGCGGTCACACGAGATACTGAGTTCAGTGCTACCCAGTGACCTTATGTGACATGACAATGAACAGTTTTCAATGCCTTTGTACAACGACAACATTTTACGATCGAGCTCCAGAATTTCATATTTCTATATATATATGATATTAAATCAAATATATATCGACTTTATTAGGTACAATTAATTTACAGAAAAACTACCTGTGCGTTTCTTTTTTTGAAGAGTGTATTGTTGGTAAGATGTGTTGGTGCATATTGCATGTGCATAATTATAACTTGCACCATTTCATGTCCAATAGAAAGAGTGAAAAACGATAATTTAGATAATTATGAATTCAAGTGAACATATTCAATGTGAATATGTATTACTATAATTACAATAATATATTTCATAAATATAAAACGTCAAAGCAAGAGAATAAGCAATGTCGATTATCTGTCGAAAGAGATTCCAATAAGCGTAAACAGGAAAATAGTGGTGAACATTATGCGAATGGATCACTGATAATCTAAGACACCAGGTGTTCGCGGAAAGGAATTTGGGTCTTACTTCGTGCTCGTTTCAATCCCAGGACCATCAGTACCACGAGTATGGACACGAACACGCCTGATGCCGACCCGATCCCAATACCTTTGGCCAGGTCTTGCGATTCTGAAACAATATAAACTGGGGTTGATTCAGACATTATCACCCTCATAAAGTAGAATTGGTCGTCAGCAACCCATGCTGGTCGTAAGACGCGACTAACGGGATCGGGTGGTCAGCCAATTGCGTTGATGAATGCGCAGGATGTCAATAACTGGATTGTGTGGTCCAGACTCGATTACTTATAGACCGCCGTCAGAAAGCTGGAATATTGCCGAGTGCGGCGTTAAACAAAAAACCCAGACACGATTAATTCGTAGCTTAAACAAGCTCCCTGTTTTCTTCCCCTTTTAAATGCATCTAGTTAATATGAAGTTCATACCTTAATACAGATATGTTTATCTTTGATATACAATACCAAATATTAAAGTGATCTACGTTTTAGAGCTATCGTACATGCGGAAACTGACTTGTGTTTTAATATATTACCTTGGAATTGTATGTGAAGTTCCTCAGTGAAAGGGCTGTTGTAGTCCTTGCCATCAACTGTAGTAACACTTTGAACTCTGACGTCATATCCTGTGTCAGTGCGCAGGTTCGAGAGGAGATAGTACACCGGAAGTAGGGGACAAACACTTTTCACGGGGCGGAAGTTCCAGGTCTCGTCTCCTGACAAACCTGACATTCTGAAGGTCACATAGAACATGTGCGGCTGCCCACGGCCCTTACTGCCATTGTGCCCCGACTCCCAACTCAGTAACGCTCCGGCAGGGAGGGGAGCTGCGATGCGGAAGTTCACAGGGACAGATGGCGGTTCTGTGTTGATAAAACCCCAATGTGTGAAATTTGGATAGGTGTACGGTAAGATATATGTTTGTGAATCAAGCATATGTAATTTCCACCCTCATTTAACAAATTCAGAGAGAGAGAGAGAGAGAGAGAGAGAGAGAGAGAGGGCACTCAGCAATATTACAGCGCTACATGTCTGTAAATAATCGAGTCTGGACCAGACAATCCAGTGATTAATATCAAGCATAGGCACCCGAGAGAGAGAGAGAGAGAGAGAGAGGGAGGGGGGGGGGGGGGGGGGGGGGGCTGTTATTGTGTTAGGCTACCTCACCGCCCGTCACATAATGAACTAACTTGGCGTAAAATATCATTTAATTCTACAATGTATATTTATTAAATACTCTAAATGAATGACAATTCATTCTTCGCTTCACACTTCTGGGACTGAACTATGAATGAATTGAATATTTGGATAATCACCAATTCGTGGTTCAGCTGTAAGACCTATGGTTGTAGCTGCACAGCCACCTTGAGTACATGCCGTGACGTCATACAGTCCGTATGCATGATCATCAACCCTCACGTGAAGCCGCGTCAGAATACCCCGTGACGTCACATTCTTGCCGTACACTCGGTACACTCTCTCTTCAGTTTCCAAGCCGGGTTGTTGGTCTGTGAGGGCCTGTCCGTCACGTGACCAGCGTACGGTGACGTCAGACGTGTTGAGGAATGTGGCAGTCAGGACAACATTCGCTCCCTGGTGAGCCAACACAGTGGTGTGGGCGTGGTCAGCGCGTGGTGCAGCTGAATTGAAAGGAAACTTGTGGCGTGAACTAGGAACTACATTTTCAAACCCTTTGTATACATTGAATACAATAAGGAAAAGTAGAAATAATCTCGATAAGTATGTGAAATTTGATAGACCTGCTTTGTTAGCAACAATATAATATGAACACTAAAATGTAAAAGTGTCACCGAGATACCTTTTATTAAGCCATAAGCAGGAACAGTTCGCCAACACAGTGCCAGGTATATTTGTTTGTTTGTTGTTTAACGCCACACTGGGCAATATTCCAGCTTTATGACGACCGTCTGTAAATAATCGAGTCTTGACCTGACAATCCAGTGGTTGACATTATGAGCATCGATCCACGCAATTGGGATACAATGACATGCATCAACCAAGTCAGCGAACCTGACCACCCGATCCCGTTTGTCGCCTTTTACGATAGCATAGTCGCCTTTAACGGCAAGCATGGGAAGCGGGAGACCTATTCTACCCCGGATCTTCACGGGTCACCAGGATATGTAGTCGTTCGAGGAACGTTTGAAGCATAACAATAACGTGGTTTTGAAAGTTATTTAATCTTTTAATCCGCGTTCTTCCAACTTTAACACGGCAATTGTAAGTGATCAAATCTTGACAGGATAAACCAGTGTTTGACCCAGGTACGACACACAATCACCTGGAGTTCAAAACAGGAACCACCCTGTCGTGATTCCGGGTCATAATAGGTCATTAGAACTTCATGATTGTCGCTCTCACACACTGTCACGCACATGCACGCACTCACGCACATGCACGCACTCACGCACACGTACACACGCAGACACACAAAGGCATGCATCCTGCTGTCAACTGTAGCTGGTTAGTGTTGGTTTCGTGACACGTTTTCTATCGTTAACTCTTTAACGTTCATATGTTCAATACATTTTCAGCTTGTTAAATAATTCTGAAATCGTTCTTTTATTGTAGGAAATAATGGGACTTACTGACCATCTTTTGTTGTATCTCGTTTACACAAAGTGTAATAGACATTTTATTACCAATGCTCTTCGAGCTTGCTACAAAATTGCGACTTAAAAATATCACGTGACATAATTCTATTGTCGAGACGCCTTTGATTTACAAAGAATAAATGTCACGTGGTATTCTTAAGTCGGCATTTTCCTGCAATGTTCAATATTCGGTACGAAACGCCTATTGTCTTTAACCATCTTCCCGAGGCAAGGGAGTTAACTGACTGTAAAAGTCCAGTTTCCACCCTTGCCGAACTAGGCGTGAATTTCTGGGCTCGATCGTAGAGCCACCAGTGGCTATTACGAGTTATGTCCCTTCTATGTGCCTCCTATTGACAAATCAGATGCCACCTCTCATATCACTTGTATTTGCTTCAAACAAAATGGCGGCGCCCTTTCAAGACGATCTGATCGATAATAAAAATCTACATTGTAATATGACGGGCCTTACTTCGCGAAGTGCACCTCTATCGAACACAAAAAAAGATTTGGAAAATATCTGTTAAAGCCGAGTTGGCGGTACACATGTTTTGCAAATCCTGAAATCGAGCGAAATCTGCACGGCAGTTTACGAACCGGATGTCGATTTGGTTACGCGAGTGTGAACGGACTATGCATTGACTCTTTAGTCCAGCCAAAATACAACTCCATAATTCCAGCCTAGTTCGAGAAGGAAACTGGACTTATATAGTCTTTTAACTATACTTGCTTTGGGAAGATGCCTTTAACTCACCAAGACAATAATGCAATACATCTGGCTGACTCGACCAGGAAGTGTGTTTGTGTCGGATAATATTTGATAGGCATTAAGTACTTGTTACACGATCCACGTTCGCCATTTCTGTAGAGCAGTGTAGATATAGTGTTATGAAAATAGGTTCACAAAGCATACATGTTTCCATTCACACGAACAATGACTCATTCTTTCAATCGACTTTGAAGCGGAAGTGCGATATTTACTCATTTATTGTTCACAAGGAATTCTTAAGCAGCACATGATTCATAATTTATAAAACCCTTTTCTAAAATCTATTTTATTATATAAACACGTGTCTGTTGTCGTTAACTACTAAGCCAAATATGATCAATATTACTTTGCGATACACAGAGCTCCAGATAAGCTTTTGGTGTTGTGGATATTTTACCCATGCATTTAAAAATCATTGGGTATCAGTAATTCTATCTGGGTATTCAAATTTCTGTTACCCACCAGTTTTTACACATGTGGATATTTAGGTTAAATATTTAAAAACACTATTCATCTAGGCCCTGTAAACTGGATTCGTGTGGGTTCGAGAGCTTTATAGGACTCAAAATTACCACGATTCTTCCACAAGAAAGTGTGATGGCAAATGATCATGATGTAACTGTCATCGTGGAGTTTGGCAAGGTTGACGGAAAGCCCGTTTTTAATTTTAAAATAAGTTGCTGATTTGCTAATCGAATACGCAGGGTTACTTCACAATATTTTGATGATACGCACAAGTTTTATTTTTGTAGCGTATCTGTAATGTTCGTTGCGTATTTGATACGCTTTGATTTTATTTAACTGCGTATTTCTGCATTTCTGATGCGTATTTTACGCAGATACGCAGCTTATCTGGAGCTCTGGATACATAAGTTAAAATAATTGTTTAACAAATGAAGCATACATATAATTATGTTAAAACAAAAAAGGTAAATACTGATGCAAATGCTTACCAAGATGGTATGACCATGAATGCTGTTAGTCGGGGCCATGTGAGTGAGTGAGGGAAGGTCGAAGTGATGCAGGTAACAAGACGTTACCATCTGCTAACCACGCTAGTGTAAAGTGCTGACCAAGCAAAGTTCGGGCCTTATGTTTATATTATTTGGTTTAAAGAGATTTTCTCTCTAAGCTTTAAGTCGGTGGTCAAACAAAAGAAACAGCGCTATATGTATTTCTTTTAATCTTTCGTGTAAATTATGATCGGTAGATTAAAAATAAAAATGATGGCGAACATCCAGATCAATTATTTAAACATGCTATCGTGGTTTAAACAGTATTTCATTTATATCACAGCATGTTCGATTAATGTTGAGGAAACCAACGAGCACCGGGATTAGACCTTAAACAAATATGTATCGGGCGTGCTCAAGGGCCACAACTCAATTGTGTTGTACAAAGGATGTGAAATACGTACCCTGGACGGGCACCTGCTCAGTGACGGTATGGTTGACACTCCCATCTGACGCCTCTTCCCCTGTGCTAGCAACACACTCATATCGTCCTCCATCCTGGAAACTGGCGCGATCAAGACGAAGATCTAGTTTCCAGTTACTCTTCACCCCTCGCTCCTGAATGTACTGGTGCCCCCAATACTGTCGCATCCAGTGAATGGTCAGGTTGGTGGGCGTTGTCTTGGGCGTGGCAATACAGGTTATCTCAGCAGGAGCCGATTCCCTTGTCGTCTTAAACCTCAGGCTAAGTTCAAAGGGATCTGGAAGAAAAATATAAATACAGTTCTTCATTATTCCATATTCACTCACTCACTCACTATGGTGAACCCGTGAAGATCCGGAGTAGAATAGGTCTTCAGTAACCTATGCTTGCCGCAAAAAGCAACAATGCTTGTCGTAAGAGGCGACTAACGGGATCGCGTGGTCAGGCTCGCTGACTTGGTTGATGCATGTCATTGTATCCCAATTGCGTAGATCGATGCTCATGATACCAATCACCGGACTGTCAGGACCAGACTCCCGTAACACCCGGTTCAAATCATTGTTTGATTTATCTTCATAACCACACTAGGCGCGGTCGGGTAGCCTAGTGGTTAAAGCATTTGCTCGTCACGCCGAAGACCCGGGTTCGATTCCCGACATGGGTACAATGTGTGAATCCCATTTCTGGTGTCCCCCGCCGTGACATTGCTGGAATATTGCTAAAAGCGGCGTAAAACCCAACTCACTCACTCACTTATAACCACACCTTGTAACATCAAAGACCGTTAACAAAAATATACTTACAGATAACGCCTATATCCTTATCTTCATTGTAACCTTTCTTGGTGAATTGGAAATTCCACGTCCTTCGATTGTACAAGTCAACTGCTGTTTTTGTCACATTGATTTCCAGCCTGAACTGACTCGCAGTATACCCACACACGCACTTAAAACCATAATTGCCTGTGGAGGAAGGCAGTGTTGGGTGTGTGAATGGTATTGAGCACACCGTCTTGTAAGAAGGATTCGTAGCACTGGTATTCCGAACGTTCAGCGTTTCAGAGAACGATCCGGTATGCCACATAACTACTTGGATGGTGAAAGGTTCTCCAACTACGGCTCTCTTTGTGAGTTTGGTGATCTGAATTTCATATGCTGCAACACAAAAGTGGTCCATTAGATCGTACTAACACAGATAAAAACATCTGCTAACTGAAGGCTATAAGGAATGCCAGAGCCTAAACACTCGATCCGCATTTTGGTCACAAGGTCTTGTGTACATTGATAAATCGGAAGGGGTGCTAACTGGGATTGTTCACTAGCCAATATATAAGCAAATATCACCGTGAGCGCTTATTAGAGCGGGGCGCTTATTACGTCGAATACGGTAATTCAAATGTTGCTGATCCCTGCATGGACAACACAAGGCAATTGCTAAAGTTAGTTAAAACTTAAACTGAATGAGTTACTGGCTTATCAACCAAGTAAGTTGGTTGGTGGGTTGGTTGTTGAACGCCGCGCTCATAATATTCCAGCCATATGACGGCGGTCTGTAAATAATCGAGTCTTGACCAGACAATCCAGTGATCGATATCATGAGCATTGAGCCACGCAATTGGGATACGATGACATGCATCAACCAAGTCAGCGAGCCTGACAACCCGATCCCGTTAGTCGCCTTTTACGACAAGCATAGTCACCTTTTACGGCAAGCATGGGTTGCTGAAGACCTATTCTACCCCGGCTCTTCACGGGTCTCCAAGTAAGTAATAAAAGGCCCGTTCATCAATGTACCTACCGTTAAGGCTGTAAATAGTAATAAAAAGCAGGTGAAAGAGCAATCTGTAACGAGTTGCACCTTCCATGACAACTTTGCCTCGGTGCTCAGTGCGCACTGACTGTCGTTACACTCGAAGGTGTTTTGTGTTTTGTGTTTTACCTGTCACACAATCGATTATTATTATGTATATCACGGCTTATCTAAGGAGGAAATTCCGGCTTCTTTGAGTTTGTAGCTTGGTACAACCGTATTTGTTTGTCAGCAATATACCAGCTATATTTATATTGTAAATTATTAAGGTCTGGTTATAGATATCATAACAAGCGTCCAAAAATATCTTGGGAATAGTGACAGACATTCAGGCCAAGACACCGAGTCCGACCACTTGATAAGTAAAGTCCTTGACTAAATGTTGTTAATCGCCGCACACAGCAATATTCCAACTATTTCACTGCCGGCTGTGAGTAATCAAGTCTAGACCAGGCAGACTAGTCTTGGAAAGCTTGAGCTACGATACACGCTACTGTGTACGAAGACTCGAAGTCCTGTGTACGAAGACTCGAAGTCCGCCAATGCAACGATGACTCGTAGTCCGCCAATGTAACGATGACTCGTAGTCTGCCAATGTAACGATGACTCGTAGTCCGCCAATGTTACGATGACTCGAAGTCCGCCAATGTTACGATGACTCGTAATCCGCCAAGTCAACGATAACTCCAAGTCCGCCAAGTCAACGATAACTCGTAGTCCGCCAATGCAACGATGACTCGTAGTCCGCTCCAAGTCCGCCACGCCAGTGTGTCTGCCCACCCATTTACCAACTGAGTCCAATCCGAGTTGCATGACACGCCCTATTTATTATAAGGCAAAACCTGAATTAGCAAACTATTCTGGCTACTGGGCCTAAACGCGTCACAGTATTTCTACAACTACGACTTACATCTATTTTCTTCTCAAGCCTAAGTGGCCGAAGTAGTTTTGGGTTGAAAATAACAAAGGAACTAAGCAATATGTAAGCAGTAGTAAAGTTGGGTTTAACGCCCCTTTTAACAGTATTCCAGTTATATCGCGGCGTGTCAACTTAATGTGGGAAGAAAGCCCGAAGTGAAGCAGGTCTCAGACGTTTACCACTTCGGTGAAACCCACGAGCACGGGTATGGTGCTGACAAACCTAGAAACATAATCGGGGCGAACCGGGACTCGAACCCACAATCATAGGTTTCTGACGTGCCCAAGGGACGCAACTCTGCACAGCGAATTAGACAGCTAGGCCACCAGTGCCCCCATCTAAGCAGTATGTATAAGCGCGAGTAGGTTTTGACACTGCTATAGCCAGATCGAGCAATATCTGGACGGGGGACACAAATACTGGGCTTCACACATTGTTCCCATATGTGGACTCCAGCCCAGGCATGCACGTGTATGTGTGTGTGGCTTCTTGTACTAGAGACCGCCTCCGTGGTCTAGTGGTAGAGCGTCCGCCCGGAGAGCGAAAGGTCCCTTGTTCGATCCTCGACCGGGTCATACCAAAAGACGTTAAAAGATGGTACTTGTTAAGTTGTTACCCTGTCTAGCGCTCGGCATCAAGAGGCTAAAACAAGGACTGGTCGGCTCGGAGTCAGTATACTGGTTCTAAGTACTAAGGGTATTCATGTTAAACTGCGGCATGGTATCTCCCTGGGCTAGCACTATAAATCGGTATATGTCCGAACTAGTTCAAGCAGCAGTTTACAAAGATAAGCATCATTCATAGAACGTCAGTCAATCCAGTGATGAATATCATAAGCATCCATCTACGCAATTGGGATCGATGACATGCAACCACCAAATCAGTTAGTCACCTCTTACAACAAGCATGGGTTGCTGAAGACCTATTCTAACACGGATCTTCACCGGACAGACGGCCGAACTTCGTTCCTACATCCGCCGCCCCACATCGGGGATGGATGTAAAAGACCAGTGATGTTTCATATTGTTCCCGGGTATAAGGACGTGTTTTGTCTGATCAATCCGGAGAACAAGTGTATCATGCAAGTTTCTGCAAGTGCATTATGGTTGGTTGGTTGGTTTGTTATGACGGTGGTCTGTTAATAATCGAGTCTGGACCAGACAATGCAGTGATTGACATCATGAGCATCGATCTACGCTTGGTTGGTTTGTTGTTTTACGCCGCAGTTTAATGTATCACAGCGTGTACAAGGAGGAAAATCTGGCTTATTGGTTGGTTGGTTTGTTTGTTGTTTAACGCCGCACTCAGCAGCATTCCAGCTATTTGACGTCGGGCTGTAAATAATGGAGTCTGGACCAGACAATCCAGTGATTGACATCATGAACATCGATCCACGATCCCGTAAGTCGCCTTTTACGACAAGCATAGTCGCCTTTAATGGCAAGCATGGGTTGCTGAAGACCTACTCTACCCCGGATCCAATTGGGATCGATTACCTGCATCAACCAAGTCAGCGTGCCTGACCACCCGATCCGGCAAACACATTATGGCACAGGCAAGTTTCCCGTCCGAATTTTGAAACAGCTTTGTCACAGATATCGTTATGAACAATAAGGGATATGCAAATGAAATCATTAAACCATGAAATCGTTTTTGAACATACACTCATGGCTATTTCGATAACGGTGTTGCCAGAGATAAACGTATTTTCCAGACGGGTAAGTACCAATTAAATTCGTTGTCAACTGGAAGTTTTCGAGGAAACATTTACACACACACACTGCGTTTTGGTTTTGAAGGGGATGTTAATCTATTGACATGACAATGGTGAATTTACAGATGGTGTTTCCGGGTTGTAATACGAGTCATTTGTTTTGAAGGGAATGTTAATATCTCGACATGACAAAGGTGAAGTTATTGTTATGTTTTCCGGGTTGAAAAACGGATCGATATATACCATAATTTTGAGTAACAAAGAGAGTGAATACTGTTTAACACTACATTCAACAATAGTCCAGCTATATCGCAGCTGTCTACAAATACATAATTGGACAAGAAAAAGTGGCGGTTTTTAATATGGGTCAACCCAGAGCATAGCCGAGTGTGTGTGTGTGTGTGTGTGTGTGTGTGTGTGTGTGCGCAATATTTCTCATTCGTTTGTCATGTCGTTCACATAGACGCAGCCTCCGAGTGTGAACGGATAAAATGAACTCGAAGCTGCAGTAAAATCATTTTGTCACCAAGCCCCGTTTTCACCGAAACTTTCGGAGTAAGCTTGTTTTCACCGCATTAAAGGACGAAAACAAGGACTGGTCGTCTCGGGGTCGGTATACTGTGTCTGAGTAGGGTATTCATGTTAAAATGCGGCATGGTATCTCCCTGAGCTATTGTGGAATCTGTGACACCACCTCTGATCCCACATAGTGATTATAAACCTGTAATTGGATGTTACACCCGAGCAGATATTTACAAATTACATGCATTAAAGCTCTGTAATGGTTACGACCGCCTCCGTGGTCTAGTGGTAGAGCGTCCGCCCGGAGAGCGGAAGGTCAGGAGTTCGATCCTCGGAAGGTCATACCAAAAGACGTTAAAAGATGGTACTTGTTGTTACCCTGTCTAGCGCTCGGCATTAAGGGGCTAAAACAAGGACTGGTCGGCTCGGAGTCAGTAAACTGTGTCTGAGTGGGGTATTCATGTTAAACTGCGGCATGGTATCTCCCTGAGCTAGCACTATAAATCGGTATCAGTCCGGACTAGTACAAGCAGCAGTTTACATAGATAAGCATCATTCATATAACGTCAGTCAATCCAGTGATGAATATCATAAGCATCGATCTACGCAATTGGGATCGATGACATGCATCAAACAAGACAGCGAGCCTGACCACCCCCCTGACCACGCTCTGATTGGTCGGATGAAAGGTCGTTTTGACGTGACCCCTAATGGGATGTCTTCAGATCTTTTTTAAGCGATAGTGAGAACTAAGGTCAGATTTTAATGAGATTGTGAAGCTCGAGAAAGCTGCCTTCTGATTGGCTGATGTCGATTTCTTGTCAGTCATTTCATAGGTAGGTCAAAATTCGCGAAAGGTCGTTCTGACATGAGTGAGTGAGTTAAGATTTATAGTCACATCGGCAATATTTCAGCCATATCGTGACTAAATCAAGTTGTACAGTAATAATACATAACTATAAACTATAAAATCTGTCGGCAAAGGACAGTAAAATAACTAGAATATCACAGCTATAAATATAAAACTAGTAAGTAACTATAAAATTTGGACTAATCAATACAATACAATATAAGAGTTGGCTAGAGATCACCAGCAACCAAAGTTAGGCCACCACACAAGGGACCATAGGGACTTACGGCGCATCTGCTTCCTGCATGGTACCCCTGCAGGATTTACACCATCCCTCTGGTCACTGGTGATTAGTAGTAAGTTTAACCCAAAGCATTTAAAAACAAACAAGTATTCTGCGAATAAAACCAAGGAAAATGAAAAATACTTTGAATGAAATAGGACTTATGTACCCTCTCAGGGGGACAATTATTTTACATTACTTCAACCCCCTTTGAAGGTACAGCCACTAACAATCTCAGTTATTAATTCATTCTTCCAAATTAAAAATATACTTTTTACAACAATACATATCAAAATTTATCAATCAAGTCTATTTCTTTTAAAAAACCAATAATTAAATGAGTTCCTACATTAAAAAGATCCTTCATAGATGAAACCTGGAAATAATTATCCCTTGTGATGGAAAAATCAACACAATCAAGCAGGACATGCTTGACGGTGATTCTTTCATCACAAGGGATACAAAATGGAGGATCCTCACCTTTTAAAAGATATTCGTGTGTATACCTGCTATGGCCAATACGACATCGTCGCATGATGACCTCTTCAAATCTGGAGTGAGTGAGTGAGGGAATGCTTTACGTCACATCGGCAATATTTCAGCCATATCGTGACGAGAAATTAGACATGAAATATACATATATTTAAACTTTATAAAAGTCTGTCATCGAAGGACAGTATGAGAACTAGAATATCACAGATAAGATTTTAAAACTAGTTGCGGAACATTTAAAAGAATTAAGTATTAAGGAACAAAGCAATATAAAAATGGGCTATAGATCGTCAGTAACTAAAGGGAGATCACCACACCAGGGACCATGGGGACTTACAGTACCTTTGCTTCCTGCATGGACCCTGGCAGGATTTACACCATCCCTTCAGTCACTGGCGATTATATGCAAGTTTAGCCATTGAATAAAACTAACAAATATACTACGATTTAAAAGTCTGGTATGCATAAAAATACTACGAATGGTTTGGGACTTACATACCCTCTTAGGGGGACAATAATTTTACGCTACTTCAACCCCCCTCGAGGGTACAGCCACTCACAATCTAAGTTATTTATTAGCACTACCAATTTATAAAATAATACATTAAGCACATCAAAATTTATGGACAAGTTCTATTTCTTTTAAAAAACTTAATATTAAATGAGAATTAACATCATTAAAAAGGTCCTTAACTGTTTTGACATTGAAATATTTATCCCTTGTGATGGAAAAATCAACACAGTCAAGCAGGACATGCTTGACCGTGATTCTTTCATCACAAGGGATACAAAACGGAGGATCCTCACCTTGTAATAAATATTCGTGCGTATATCTGCTGTGGCCAATACGACATCGTCGCATAATGACCTCTTCAAATCTGGACTGACAGCCCAAGTAGGTGTAACCGATATTTGGTTTAATTTCATGTAATTTATTGATACCGACTTGGGAGTCCCACTTCTTTTGCATAAGATCACAAATATAAGATCTGATTACAGGTTTATAATCAGTATATGGGATAAGAAGTGGTGTCACAGATTTGTTGAGTGCTGCTTTTGCAGCAGCATCAGCCATTGAGTTGCCTTTGATACCCACATGACTGGGCAACCAACAAAAGACGATGTCGTATTGGCCAGTAGCAAGTTCATTAAATAATTCAATAATTTTGATTAAAAGTGGATGTTGACATGAGATGTTATGGATAGCCTGCAGGCAAGAAAGAGAATCGGAAAATAGGATAAACTTCTGATATTTTGACTGTTTACTGATATATTGTAAAGCTGTTAAAATGGCATTGGCCTCAGCTGTGAAAATAGAACTATTGTCGGGTAATCTGGAGGAGATAGTCCTGGATCCAATGACAGTGGCGCTAGCAACAGCGCCACTATCCTTGGATCCGTCAGTAAATATAGATTTGTAAGTATTATATGTGTTTCTTAATTCATTATATTTTTGTTGATAAATAAGTTGATTTGTTTCCGATTTCTTTAATTTAGTTAATGTCAGATCCACCTCTGGCTTTACCAACTGCCAAGGTGGAGAAGACAAAAGCTGCGTGGGGGCTATAGCATCAAGATTAATTTTAGCGGCAGAAATATCAGATTGAAGTCTTATTCCAAGTGGGGGGAGAACCGATGATTTTTTATTATAGAGATTTTCATAAAGGGGGTGAAAAACACAGTCATATGCTGGATTCGAGTTATTAGAGCGTAATTTAGTGACATATTGTAAGGATAATTTAATTCGGCGTTGTTTGAGGGATGGTTCATCAGCCTCAACGTACAGACTGTCAATAGGAGAAGTTCGGAAAGATCCAAGACAGAGTCTCAGACCTTGATGGTGGATAGAGTCCAAAAGTTTAAGATTACTTTTGCAGGCTCCACCATAGATGATGGAGCCATAATCAAGTTTAGAGCGAATAAGTGCTCTGTACAGTTGAAGGAGGGTTTTCTGATCCCCTCCCCACTTGGAATTTGAAACAACTTTTAGCAGATCAAGGGCCTTCAGGCATTTATTTTTCAAATATTTTATGTGAGGTAAAAACGTTAAATGGTGGTCAAAAATAAGACCCAAGAACTTAGCCTCTTTGACAACTTTAATCGGAGTGCTATCTAAAATTAAATCAGGGTCTTTATGGGGTTTGTATTTCCTACAAAAGTGGATACAATTTGTTTTGGATTTTGAAAATTTAAAACCATTTTCTAAACACCATTTATTTATCTTATTTAGACATAATTGTAATTGTCTTTCGATAGTATGCATGTTTTTACCACGACATGATATGTTAAAATCATCCACGAATAAAGATCCATCAATGGAGTCATTTAAAACCTTAGAGAGACTATTTATCTTAATACTAAATAGTGTAACAGACAAAATACTGCCCTGTGGGACACCCTGATCCTGATGATAATGATCAGACAGGGTTGAGCCCACGCGGACTTGAAATTGTCTGTCAGTTAAAAATCTGGATATGAATTGAGGCAAACGGCCTCTCAATCCAAAATCATGTAAATCTTTTAAAATCCCGTGTTTCCAGGTAGTGTCATACGCCTTTTCCAAGTCGAAAAAGATAGACACTGCATGCTGGTTATTAATTATTGCATTTTTTACAAATGACTCTAACCGAACTAAATGGTCAACAGTACTTCGATTCTTTCTAAAACCACACTGAATGTTTGTAAGTAAATTATTTGATTCCAAGTACCATGTTAATCTATTGTTGACCATACGTTCCATGGTCTTGCAAACGCAGCTGGTCAGTGAAATGGGTCTATAATTTGATGGATCAGTATGATCCCGTCCAGGTTTTGGTATGGGTACAACTATGGCATCACGCCAGGAAGAAGGAAACTCACCTGACGTCCAGATTTTATCAAAAATCATCAAAAGGGTTTCTAAACAGAGTTGCGGTAAATGTTTTAAGAGTTGATAATGTATATTATCAGACCCCGTAGCAGTGTCATGAGCTTGCCCAAGGGCAGTATTGAGCTCATGAATGGAAAATATTTCATTGTAATCCTCCCCATTGTCTGAATTAAAATTTATTGGTTTCTTTTCTTGCTGCTTTTGATATTTTTGGAATTTAGGGGCATAGTTCGAGGAGGAAGAATGTTGAGCCAGAGTTTCACCAAGTTTATTAGCAATATCAGAAGTATTTGTTAATAATTCATTCCCATTTTTAAGGTGGTGAACACTAGATTTAGAACCCTTACCTTTAATTTTCTTAATCATGTTCCATACCTTCGATATCGGCGTACGTGAATTTATCTTGGAGACATAAGTTTGCCAAGACTGACGCTTGTTTTGTTTAAAAGTACGCCGTGCCTTAGCGTTTAATATTTTAAATTTATTTAAATTGTGGACCATAGGATGGCGACGGAAATATTGTTCAGCTTTTTTCCTTGCCTTCTTAGCTAGTTTGCAATCATTGCTGAACCATGGCTTACGTATGTGAGGATTTGAAGAGGACTTCGGAATACATTCATCAGCTATTTGATTTAGTGTATCGGAAAAAAGTTTTATGGGATCAGAAACATCAATAAAACCATCAGGTTTTAGATGATTAGAGCAAAGGTTTGCATATAAAGCCCAGTTCGCCTTAGTAAAATTCCATCGTGATGACGGAGAAACATCAGATGGTGTCACAGATTGTAAAATAGTAGGAAAATGGTCACTTCCACTTAGGTCATCGTGGACTGACCATTCAAATTCCTGAAGTAAACTAGAATCTACAACTGACAGGTCTAAACAAGAGTAAGTGCCAGTTGCAGGATGTAGATATGTGTGAGTACCATCATTTAAAATGCACAAATCATTATTGAAGAGAAAATCTTCAAGTACTTTTCCTTTAGTATTAGTGGCATGACTACCCCAAAGTGGGTTATGGCCATTCAAATCTCCCATGATAACACAGGGCTTAGGGAGTTGATCATATAGTGTCTGAAGATCAGACTGTCGGAGAGAGTACGATGGTGGTATATACAAAGAACATAAAGTAAAAACAATATTTAGTGTTATACGTACTGCAATGGCCTGAAGAGGGGTATTGAGAGGAACAGGACTGTGAATGACGCCCTGCCTCACCATAACAGAAGATCCTCCAGTAGCTTTCTCACCTGGAGGAGAAAAGCAATGGTAAGAAACATACTGTCGTAAATCAAAATTATCTGTTGGTTTAAGAAAAGTTTCTTGTAGGCAAATTGCAGATGGTTTGAAATCCTGAATTAATAGCTGAAGATCATTGAAATTGTTCCGAAGTCCTCTACAATTCCATTGGATTAAATTGGGGGAGCAACTCATGGAGGCTCAATTGGAGAACGGGAGCGTGGGGAAGGTCCTCTATGCTGCAATGGCAGCGATGGAGTGACCTCCATATCTAGAGGTTCAAAAGAGTTATGAACCTCCAGTGGGGCTGTCAATGTAGAAGGCACCTCAGTGTGTTTAAGGGCCTTAGACTTTTTCTTTTGTTGTTTATTTGCTTTTCTGGTAACAGTAACATTTTGTTTCAATACAGCCACAGGTTCGGGGGGAGTTGCAGGGTTAGGCACAGTGTCAGTCTCTGGTAGAGGTTCTGCTGAAAGCTCAGTTTGTGAACCTGATGAAGAAGAGTGAGTGAGTGACGGCATCATCAATTTTGTATAACATGGTCTGTACATCGGAGACCCAGGTAATTGCCGTTTGGCACCCATGATCGACTTTGAGAGTGGAAGAGGAAACTGCTGCAGAGTAAGATAGAGTCGAAGGGGATGACTCCTTCTCTAGTAATTTCTTTGCATCAGCAAATGAAATGTCATTGCTGTACTTGATTTTAAGAATCTTAGTTTGTCTGACAAAAGAGGGGCATGATTTTGAAAAGGACATGTGTTCACCACTGCAGTTGGCACATTTGATGGATTCTGTGCACTCAGTACCATCATGGTTTTGACTGCAGCGGGAGCAAACTTGTTTGTTGCGACAGGATTTTGCGCCATGTCCGAACTGTTGACATTTAAAACATCGGAGTGGATTGGGGATGTACACATCCACCCCGATGTTGAAATACCCGGCTTTGATGGAAGAAGGGAGCTTTGTCAGCGCAAACGTAAAAAGGTAGGTATTCGTTTTAATGAATGTATCACCATCCTTCCTAGAGAATCTTTTGACAGAAGTAACGCCTTGATTTTTAAGCTCTGCAGCAATTTCATCTTCAGACATATCTGAAAGGCATTTCGCATAGTCGCGAACAATACCTCGACAGGAATTCAGAGTCTTGTGAACTGAGACAACAATCTCAGTATCAGCAAAATGATGTGCCTGGAGCAGATTTTGAGATTGTTGTCTCCGAGCACATTCAACAAGTAATGAACCGGACCGGAGACGAGTAACATTTTGTACAGTTCCACATATTCCTTCAATAGATTTTGATACTACAAAGGGGTTGATTTTGAGGGGTTCACCATCAACACCTTCAATAACCAGAAAACGTGGCCAAGAATCAATATGTGGTACAGAATCCTCATCTGAAGATACTGCAGGATCTGAATCAATATGCCTGCGTTTACTTTTTGAGCGAGAACCAGATAAGTTTGGGGTAGCCATAATGAAAGAAAGTTTTTCGACACCCCTGATCCCCACCCACCATGGAGTGTCAAAAAGGACGGTGATGTAGTGGAAGCCGACTACAAACACCAGGGCTACAAGGGTGTTATACTCAAGCAATAAGGACACAGGTAGCTATTTTTGTCAAACAGGGTTAAAAGTCAGGCTGGTTCTGCCCTAGACAGTTATCTGATGACAAATAGAACCCGGAGGTCCGTAATGCCAGATTGGCCCATGAGCCACCGCCTTCTGGCGTAAGACTCTAGGCAACTTTTCAATACAAAATTGATATTTCACACGAGTTATGTACGGCCAAGACCAAAATATACATAAAAATACAACACAGGTGTGCATATATACAATATTACGCACAGGGCCTGGCATGACCAGCCGATTGATAAGACCGGGCCCATCTTACCACCCGTCTAGGCGAAGTAAGGGTCGAAGTAGTGTGTTGGGCAAAGGAACACAGTTCCAGGAACCAATGCCCTCAACTACCAGACTCCCGTCCTCCGCCGACACAGGGACGCAACCCACGGCAAACAGGTTGCCCATTTTAGTCGCCTCATACGACCAGCAATGGGAGGCTGTGGAAATATTCTACCCCGGTTCCACACGGGGGAAGAGCTATTAGCGTTACCCAGCACTCACCACGAGGAGGTTGCTCTTCACGAGTGCCCGTTCTGACATGACCCGTAATGAGATGTCCTGAGATCTTTGTTTAGCGGTAGCGAAAACTAAGATGCGATTTTAATGTGATTGCTGACCACCCGATCCCGTTAGTCGATTCTTACGACAAGCATGGTTTGCTGAAGACCTATTCTAACCCGGATCTTCAGCGGACAGACGGCCGTACGGCCGAAGTACGTTCCTATATCCGCCGCCCCACATCGAGGAGTGAGTGAGTGAGTGAGTGAGTGAGTGAGTGAATATTTATAGTCACATCGGCATCGTGACTAAATCAAGTTAGACAGTAATAATACATTAATTTTTTATTATAAAACCCGTCGTCAAAGAACAGTAAAATAACTAGAGTATCACAGATGTATAGTTTAAGACTAGTATGGAACCATAAAAAGATATCACGATAAATAACAATACATTATAAAAACGGGGCTAGGGATCGCCAGCAACTAAAGGTAGACCACCATACTGGGAACCGTGGGGACTCACAATACTTCTGCTACCTGCATGGTTCCCCCGCAGGATTTATGTCATCCCCTAGCCGCTGGCGGTTGTCATCAAGTTAAGCCCAAATTAAAACAAACAAGTATACTGCGACTAAAACGGTAGTAGGAATAAACTGACTTCAAATGACGTAGACTTGCATTACCTCTCGGGGGTACAATAATTTTACAGTACTTCAATCACCTTTGAGGATACAGCCACAAACTATGAGTGAGTGAGTTAAGATTTAACGTCACATCGGCAGTATTTCAGCCATATCGTGACGAGAACTACATTAATAAAACATATATTGAGACGAAATAAAAACCTGTCAACGATGGACAGTACAATAACTAGTATATCACAGTTTTGATTTAAAACTATAAAAACGGGCTATAGATCGTCAGTCACTGAAGGGTGATCACCATACTAGGGACCATTGGGACTTATAGTACCTTTGCTTCCTTCATGGACCCCGGCAGGATTTATATCACCCTACAGTCACTGACGATAATTGCCCAGTTAAGCCTAAGATTAAAATGACAAAAATACTACAATTAAAAGCCTGGCATGCATAAAAATACTTCAAATGATTTGGGACTTACATACCCTCTTAGGGGGACAATAATTTTACGCTACTTCAACCCTCCTCGAGGGTACAGCCACTTACAATCTAAGTTATTAATTAGCACTACCAATATCTAAAAACTTATTATGTACATCAAAATTTATGAATTAATTCAATTTCCTTTAAAAAGCACAATATTAAATGAGAATGTACGTGATTAAAAAGGTCCTTTACTGTTTTTACATGATAGTATTTATCCCTTGTGAGGGAAAAATCAATACAATGAAGCAGGACATGCTTGACTGTGATTCTTTCATCACAAGGGATGCAAAACGGAGGATCCTCACCTTTCAATAGATACTCATGTGTATATCTTGAATGGCCAATACGACATCGTCGCATAATGACCTCTTCAAATCTGGACTGACAAACCAAGTAGGTGTAACCGATAGTTGGTTTAATTTGATGTAATTTATTGATACCTACTTGGGTGTCCCACTTCTTTTGCATCAGATCACGGATGTAAGATCTAATAACAGGTTTATAATCAGTGTATTGGATTAGAAGTGGTGTCACAGATTTGTTGAGTGCTGCTTTTGCAGCAGCATCGGCCATTGTGTTACCAATGATACCAACATGGCTTGGTAACCAACAAAAGACGATGTCATATTGGCCAGTAGCAAGATCATTAAATAATTCAAGACTTTGGATTGAAAGCGGATGTTTCGAAGACATATTTTTAATCGCCTGAAGGCACGAAAGTGAATCTGAAAAAATAGTGAAAGCTTTATATTTGGATTTCTTCTTGATATATTTTAGTGCTGTTAATATTGCGTGTGCTTCTGCTGTGAATATGGAACTATTATCAGGTAATCGTGAAGATACTGTTCTAGATCCAATGACTGTGGCACTAGCAAATGTGCCACCATCCTTGGATCCATCTGTAAATATAGATTTATTAGTGTCATAAGTGTTTCGTAATTGATTGTATTCTTGTTTATAAATAAGTGGATTTGTATCAGATTTCTTAAGTCTAGTTAATGTGAGGTCTACTGTCGGTCTTACCATCTGCCAAGGAGGCGATGAAAAAAGTTGTGTGGGAGCTATATCCTGAAATTAAAGTTAATGTTCGCAGCAGAAACGACTGATTTAATTCTTATTCCTAGTGGTGGAACAAGAGATGTTTTCTTATTGTAAATATCTTCGCAATTAAAACCTGGATTTGACTGATTAGAATAAAATTTAGTGATGTGGTGTAATGACAGTTTCAGACGGCGTTGTTTAAGAGAAGGCTCATCTGCTTCAACAGACAGACTTGGAATAGGAGAAGTGCGAAAGGCTCCAAGGCAAAGCCTCAGTCCTTGCTGATGGATAGTATCTAGTTTTTTTAGATTACTTTTACAGGCTCCACCATAGATGATGGAGCCGCAATCAAGTTTTGAACGGATTAGTGACCTGTATAAGTGTAAGAGGGTTGTCTGATCCCCTCCCCACTTTGAATTAGATACAACTTTTAATAAATTGAGCGACTTCAGGCATTTAGCTTTAAGGTATTTAATATGTGGAAGGAAAGTTAAATGGCTATCAAAAATGAGTCCCAAGAATTTGGCCTCCTTAACAACTTTGATAGGGCGGCCATTCAAAAATAATTCAGGGTCTTTATGCAGCTTATATTTTCTGCAGAAGTGTAAACAGTTAGTTTTAGATTTAGAAAATTTAAAGCCGTTTTCTAGACACCACTTGTGAATTTTATTGAGGCAGATTTGTAACTGCCTCACTATTGGATGCATATTTTTCCCACAACAAGATAGATTAAAATCATCCACAAAAAGTGATCCATCTACTGAATCATTTGAAAACCTTGGACAGACTATTTATTCTAATACTATTATTCACGATTCGTTCCATGGTTTTGCAAACACAACTAGTTAACGATATAGGTCGATAATTTGAGGGATCTGTATGATCCCGGCCAGGTTTTGGTATGGGGACTTCAATGGCATTATGCCATGAAGGAGGAAAATTCCCTGAAGTCCATATTTGGTCAAAAATGTCTAAAAGTGTCTCAAGACATGATTTAGGCAAATGCTTTAATAACTGATCGTGGATATTATCATCACCTGCTGCAGTATCATGAGCTTGCTCAAGAGCGGTATGTAGCTCATGCAGTGAAAATACTTCATTGTAATCTTCACCATTGTTTGAGTCAAAATTAACATTTTTCTTTTCCTGTTGTTTCTGATATCTCTGAAATTCAGGAACATAATTTGAAAATGAAGAATTTTTGGCAAGAGTTTCGCCAAGTTTATTTGCAATATCAATTTTATTAGTTATACAGTTATCACCGTCTTTAAGATGGTGTACAGACGATTTGGAACCTTTGCCTTTTATTCTTTTAACCGTGTTCCATACCTTGGACATGGGTGTCCGTGAATTGATATTGGAGACATAGTTCCTCAAAGATTGGTGCTTATTTTGCTTATAAGCACGTCGCGCTTTGGCACTCGTAATTTTGACATTCTTCAAATTATGAACAGTAGGGTGTTTGCGGAAATACTTTTCCACTTTCTTCCTACATTGTCTTGCTTGTTTGCAGTCATTAGTAAACCATGGTTTAAGAATATGCGGATTTGCAGAGGACTTTGGAATTGTTTGGTGAGCAATATTATTGAGTTGAGTCGAAAACAACTGCATGGGATCCGGTACATTCCTGAAATTGTCAGGCTTTAATTGTTCGGTACATAATAGTTCATACAAGGAATACGTTCCTGTGGCAGGATGTAAATAAGTGCTTGAATCGTCACTAAATATACATAAGTTATTATCAGATGCAAAATCTTCATTGACTTTCCCCTTGTTGTTTGTACTTGCACTTCCCCATAGAGGGTTATGCCCGTTTAAATCGCCCATAATGATGCAGGGCTTTGGGAGCTGATCATATAGCTTCTGAATATCAGACTGTTGAAGAGCCGATGAAGGTGAAATGTACAAAGAGCACAAAGTAAGTGTTATGTTCAAAGTTAATCGTACTGCACAGGCTTGAAGATAAGTATGAAGTGAAACAGGGCTGTGGATCACTCCCTGCTTCACCAAAATCGTAGATCCTCCAGTAGCTTTATTTCCCGGTGGAGAAAATGAATGATAAGACGTGTACCGACGCAAATCAAAGTTGTCTGTCTGTTTTAGATAAGTCTCCTGGAGACAGATTGCTGACGGTATATAGTCTTGAATTATTAGCTGTAACTCATTAAAATTTGTCTGAAGA